TTGATAGCATACATAGAAAGTCTTTGGAAAATGATGGTGTACCACAGAATACCAGCAAAAAGAATTACAGTCCTTAAGGCCCTGGATCAGAATTCTGCATGTGCAGTGAAAGATGGGAACACCATCAGCCAATGGTTTGCAGTGATGACTGCAGTAAGGCAAGGGAGGGGCATTACATCCCCACTTTGCACTGGTCACTATGTCAGGAGGAAAGTAACTACGGAGGGCAACCGAGGAATTTTATAGACAAATGATAAGGCACAATCAGATGAGTTCGCCTTTGCTGGTGACATTATCTCGCTTAGTTCAAAGCTTAAGAAAGAAAAGTACCAGCTTCTGGCAGTTGCAGCAGAACAGGCTGCATCAACCAGGAGAAAAACAAAATATATGGCTAGCAGTATCTCAGAAGCAATCATCAGAATAGACTAACACTAACAGAAGTAAGTACGGTTGCCACCTTTCCCAACCGGATGCCATGCGCGGAATAGCGTCCAGTCTGTCCAAACAGGAAAGTTGGCAACCCTTGAAGGAAGTCATTTTTCCTATCTAGTGAAAGAGCTCTGCAGTGTTAACAGCACCATGCTAGATGCTAACCAATCATTATCAAAAGCCGCAAACAACTGTCAAACTTGGGGTGGGGGGAACCCTGCAAAAGTAGCGGGATTGGCACTGACACAAAAATACACATTTTTAAACACTGGCATCATGTCATCCCTCTTCACGAGCAGAGTTGTGGAAACCTGCAACAGAAATTGATCAACTTATTCCAAAGTAAATGCCTGCAAAAGATCTTCCGAGTTCATTGGAAGGAGTTTCTTGCAACATCAGAAATTCTACAGAGGGCACACCAATCTAAGGCATCAGTCCCGGGAAGGAGATAACGATGGATGTATTTAGGGCATGTTTTAAGGATGCCACCAATCCGTTTTCCACAGCAGGTGATAATATGGACCCCACCTGGGGAAAGAAACAAGGAAGCAACCTAGAGACAATAGAGAAAGAAGCCAAATCCATCAACCTGACACCCAAAGGCCTGAACAGACCAGCACGAGACCGAAGTAATGGTGGCCACTGGTGGACTCCCTAAGTACCTGAGGGTGGGGGAGGATACAGAAGGAAAGATGCCTCAGTAGAATATTCCCCCAATAGGGCATGGATCAGATCCTGTTGCCAGTTCCACAGTAGGAATCCCACTGGACACAGTGGCCTTCTACTGACATAACTGATAGCCACATTGGGCCCTGTGTTTAGAACACTCCTCTCTTTCCAACAGCCCAGTTGCTAATGGGTGCTTCCCTCCCTCTGGGTGTGCCTGCACTGCAATTACAAACCTGCAGCCGGCCCTCGCCCCTTGCGGGATCTCAGCACCTGGGCGTCCACCTTGAGCTCAAACATCTACACCACCATTTTACAGCCCCACAGTCCAACCCCAAATGCCCAAGTCAGCTGCCATGGGCCATGCAATGGGCCTTTTGTTGCATTATCGACATACCCTCAGTCTCTCCCTAGCTCTGAGCCTGATTGGTTGCTCTGTGAGTCTCCCCGTCTCTAACACCCAGAGCAGCAGCAGGTCACAGACCTCAGGAGAAAGCACCATTCGGGAGCAGGAAGGGAAGAAAGGGCTTTGCTAATCTCAGCCCTCAGGTCACTTGCAAGGCATAATGAGGCCACTTCTGTAACGTCTCTGAACTCTGCACTGGTTTAGTTAAGCATCTGGGCATATTTCATCCCTCCCTGACAAAGTGTGACTGATACACAGATGAAAACGCATTCGAAGCACCACTGACAAAGGTTCCGCGTGCACCATTAATCACCAAAAGGGCACTGGCCCTTCCTCCTGCTGTTTTCCCTGTCAACAGCCAATGTATTTTATGCTGTTAATTAAGCACCAGCCTAGCTACATAGCAGGGTTTCAGCTGGGATCTTCCATTCCAATTAGAATTTATAAAAGAGCCCGTCTTCAGAAACCTGCCTTCAGATTCATGGGCAGGCTGCAGGCTAGGCTGGGCTGCCTTGGCAGAACTCTGTGGGATCTGAAAGTGACATGGCAGAGGGAGCTTTTGGGGGAGCTGTGTGGCACTGACAGACCCAGGGACAGGGGCAGAACTGGGTGCAGGGGAGGAACGAGGTGCAGCACTGTAACTAGGTATTTTAGCGCCTGGGGCAAAATAATTATGCACCCCCTGATTATGACAATATGATGTGCCTGGGGTGAGTGCCCCGCTTGCCCCGCCCTTGTTAGGGTCCTGACGAGGTACATTGGCACAGCTGGAATCTCAGTGCACCTCACAGGGGTCGGTTGGCACCACTGCGAGAGTCTTCTGCTCCTAAACCCAGGCAGCTGCCCAGAAGTCACTAGGAGGTTGTACTGTGGGTAAAAGGGAGGCAGAAAGCACACGTCCCCTACATCTAACTCCCCCACCCTTGCAGGCCTTCCCCTTCCGCTCCCCAAAACACTGTGGCACAGATGAGCAAAACGAGCAGCCTCTATGTGAGAAGCAGCCAGGCCTGGAAAGAGTCAGGGAGCAGCAGAGTGAATGTCAGGACTGTGGTGTGTTGGTGGAGCTTTGGTGTGGGGACGCGTGGCTGGAATATCGGGGGCGTCTCAGATCAGGAATTGAGGGGCTCCAAGAGAGCAGTGTGAGGACTCCAAGGTGGAGCAGAGGGGTGCTTGTGGCCAGGACAGGTGCATTAGCACCGGTAAGGGGGCAGCAGAGGAGAATACGTCCATCTTCAGCCTGTGCTGAGAATTGACCCAAGCAGCAAGCTCATCACCAAAATGATTAGGGGGTTGGAGCATATGACCTACGAGGAGAGGCTGAGGGAGTTGGGTCTGTTTAGTCTGCAGAAGTGAAGAGTGAGGGGGGATTTGATAGCAGCCTTCAACTTCCTGAAGGGATGTTCCAAAGATGATGGAGAGAGGCTGTTCTCAGTAGTGACAGATGGCAGAACAAGGAACAATGGTCTCATGTTGTGGTGGGAGAGGTCCAGGTTGGCTATTAGGAAAAACTATTTCACTAGGAGGGTGGTGAAGCACTGGAATGGGTTACTTAGGGAAGTAGTGGAGTCTCCATCCCTAGAGGTATTTAAGTCTCAGCTTGACAAAGCCCTGGCCGGGTTGATTTAGCTGGGATTGGTCCTGCCTAGAGCAAGGGGCTGGACTTGATGACCTTCTGAGATCTCTTCCAGCTCTATGGTTCTATGGTTTTATGATTCTATCACACACTCACAAATGACAGACATTAATGACACTTGCAAAAAGGCTCCTTCCCTCCCTGACCAGGGGTTCTCGGGGCAATACAGGGGGCTCCCCCATCTGTACTGAACTCCACCTCACATCTCCATCACACAATTGCTCCTTGAGAACTCCAGCTAAGACGCTCCTTTCTCTGGAAGGCGCTTGCGTTCCTTTGGCAGAGTTCCACCAGAGAGACACTTTGAGCAAAGAAATGATTCTGCTGCTGCTTCCTCTGCACGCATCTCTCACCCCCTGACTCCAGCGCTCCACCTCCCCTTCACCTGCAATCTTTTCCTTTACCAGATTTAAAGCTAGCCTGCGCATCCAGGACACCTGCTGCCCAGTTCCCACTCTCCCAAGTGCATCTGGCTGGCAACTCCAATGCCCCTTTCAAACTGAGACAAGGAGGCAGAGACAATCACTAACAAACGCCCACCTCTGGGGAATACGGTGACAAAAGCAATCTGCTGTCCAGAAAGGTTGGAGGCTTGGAACTGCCCTGACTTCAGAATCCAGGAGCAGCTGCTTGCAAGATAGATCACATATTTAGGGATGGGATGGGATGGGACATGCATGACTCACTCAAAAGCTGGCACTGCCCCATGTCCAAGCATTTCTCTTTGACCTGAGAGAGAGATGATTTTTTCATTTGAAGTGTCAGAGAGAGAGAGCAAGGGAGAAAGAGACTCAAGGCCTGGGAAGTGGCACTCAACATTGCTGGACTCCAGTACCCCTTTCCGGAGCCTGATTTGTCTTGCGTACCCCTCCCGCAGCCCCCCACGTTTCGCCTCACTGAAAAATGACTTGCTTACAAAATCAGAGATAAAGGGACAAATGTGGCCCAGCACACTGTTACTGACCAATGCCTCACTTTCCCATTTTGATCATATCATTATAAAATGATTCAGCTGGAATATAACTTTTGTACTTACATTTCAGTACATAGTATATAGAGCAACATAAACAACTCATGGTTCTGTGTAATAGTTTAGTTTGTACAGACTTTGCTAGTGCTTTTTATGTAGCCTGTGATAAAACTACACTAGATGAGCTGATCTATTCCCAGGAACTAGATGAGCTGATGTACCCCTGGAAGACCTCTGTATACCTCTGCTTGAGAACCACTTAGCCTTTCGTCTCTCCAGCTCTGCATTCAAATCCTGCTCTTTAGGAGGGGGCCAGGAGTGCAGAGTATTTGAGGAGTTGAAGGTCCCTGCTGGAAAGCAGGAGACGATGCCTGTCGGGACTGGGAGACACTGGCAGTGCTGTGGGGGGACACAGGCTTAGCCTAGCAAGTGTGTTTGCAAAGCAAGTCCAAGGTGCATTGGGACAGATGGGAGAGCAGCAGAATAGCAGTGGAGTTGCAGCTTTGGAGATTTAACGGCAGAGCGATATGGTGGCAAGTCAGGAATGAATGGCCCCAACAGAGCTAAGTGAGTGTGAAGTTTGCCTGACCCCTGCTCACACTACTGTTGAGATTAGCCAGGGTTATCCATCTCTCACTTCCCAGGGGCCTAGACACTATGGGGATGGGCTTATTAGAAGCATCGTGGCTTGGCTTAGACAGACTGCACACTCTATCTGGAAACAAAATAGCTCAGGGGAGGCAGAAATGGCAGCCTCTGCACGGGGCAAAGGATGGTGGCCGGGGGCTTCCCAGCCCCGACAGCTCTCCTGAGCACTGAGCAGGAGGAAGATGGGTTTCACTGAGCCACTCCATCCAGGCTTTTAGAAAGGGATCAGGGCAGACATCAGCACTTACCCTCTGCTAACGATCAGCCTCAGCGCTTCCAAGTTGCCATGGTAAGCGGCCCAGAGGGTCGGGGTCATGCCATCCTCGTCGGGTGAGTTTAGGTCCTTCTTGGTGGCTTCCTTTAGCAGGTCCAGGTAGCCATCCCGGGCTGCTCGGTGGTACTGGTCGTTCATGATGCTAAGCAGTCCCCTGGCCAGTTCATCGGGGAGGGAGGCAGGCAGGGGTATCTTAAAGGATGGGCATTGGCTCGGGGAGCAGCTCCACACCAGCAGCTTCCTGAGAGCGGAGGGAGCTGACAGCAGTGGTTACCAGGACACCTGAGAAGTCCTGAGCAGTGAAGGGAGGAACTCCTTGAAATGAATGCAGGAGAAGCCTCTTCCAACACTCCCCCTGGGTCCTAAGAATCCTCCGCTCCCACCACTGCAGGCCTCCTGGCAAGGAGAAAGCACCGTTCAGCCCAGCACATGCCCAGTTTGAAGGTACTTTAAAAAGCACCTTTTATCTTTCCGGCCTCTCTCCTGGGGCCAGCTACATCTGCTTGAGAGCCCTCCTGAAGGGAATTCATTCTGTAGGCACAGAATAGGTCGTGGCAGGTCAGCACAGTAACTCCCTTCAGGCTCTTTCAGCCCCAGGGACCTTTCTAAAGGAGGAAGCCAGACGAAATACCAGTCAGCATCATTGGCTGTTTCCTGCCAGGCACAACCAGTCTCCCAATGCACCAGCACTCTTGGCAACAGCAGCCTGGGTCCATGCCAGGGGCCCAGGATGTTACCAAATGACATGTCAGCCATTAGACCTGCCACTGCCTAAGACATAGGGTGACCGGATTACCCAAATTCACAGGGACAGTCCCGATATTTGGGGGTTTGTTTCATATAGAAGCCTATCACCCTCATCCCGACTTTTCACACTTGCTATCTGGTCAGGTCACCCTCCGAAGAAAGCCCATTCCAGCTTGTCTAACAGCATAGGAACCACTCCCGACTTGCCCGGCTGTAGTCGAGAGCAGCATTGGAGGGATGGCCCAGCATTTGGAAGAGTGCAGGAGTGTTTTTATTGATTTCCTAGGGTTATTTTTACAGGAACACGTGGCTCAGTTTTTCACAGTTAGAGGCACATTGCCAGTTGGGCCTGGGTGCAGGCAGGCAACTACCCAGCAGGAGCGGCATCGGCTGCAGCCCAGCCCTCCACCCACCTGCACCCTGCTGTCCATAGATGCATACGTGGCACCCAGAGAACTGAAACCTCAGCCAGCTCTGGGGGTGGGC